GTATAAAATAAGGTAAGTCAATAGAGCTAGTATAAATAAGCATTGCAATTTATAAAAAAAATTAAATTCTTTATAAAAAATCAGTGAGTTTTGAATAAGTTTCACCAAAATTAAGTAGCAACCAAGGGGTCGAAACTACAAGATGCTTGCGGAATTACTAAATAAAGAAAAAGAAAAAACTTAACAGTCTAGCACAGTTTTATATTAGCTGATTAAAAACTTCATTTGCCTCAACAATATATAAATTAGAAATAAAAGTCAACAAGCTTTAAGTGCTCAAAAATAAGCTCCCATTTTCAAGACCCTTTGCTGAATTTATTTAAGTCTTGAAAATGGGCATCAATTTTTGACCGCTTCAAACTTGTCGACAGTTATTTCATATTTTTGAAGCAAGTTTTTAATCGGCTTACTGTTTCAATTTCTAAGAATTATTTATTTAAAAGTTTTGCATTCTGGCTAGTGCATTTTTATTGGCCAGAAAATCACATAATAGAATTCAGCCATTAATTTCCGTCAGTATAAAATTGATGACTGTCATAAAGGTATCGTTATATTTTTTTATCCCCAAGTCAAAGGTGCAATATTAATTTGTCTTATTCAACTCTGCTAATATTAAGTTTTTTGATTTCGATTGCTTTCTAAATCGAGAGTTTAAAACTAAAAAAGTTATTTCTTTATAATAATTGTTTTCTAATTATAACGAAATTTTAAAATACATTAACATATTATGCTACAGTTTAAAATAAACCTATTTAAATCACTGCCTAAATTTATTAACCGTTTAAATTACACTCAACGGTTAATAAATTTAGACACAAATTACATTAAAATACTATTGTAAGTTATAGTTAGAAAGATTTATTGAATTATTACAGAGTGCATAGCCAAACTTTTCAACAAAAAACAAGCGCCTTTTAAGCACTTTTCAGCACTTAAAAATATTTTTAAGCACTTTAAAAAAATATAACTAAGCAGGGTTGGCAAGTTTTCGACAATTGACGGTTTTAACCGTCATATATATATATANATGCACTCTGTATTATGAACGCAACGACCAGTTTCAGGCACAAATTGTATTTAATAAACCGGCAGCCTGTTTGGTAAGAGAAAATATTCAATAATAGTTGACAAACTACCAAATTTGTCATAACAATACGGCTTTAGTTTTAAATGGTATTTTAAGATATGATTATTTAGTAAGATTATTCATGTTCACTAATAGAGCATAAAAAAAGGTTTAGATGTGAGAAATGGGGGCACAAACATACGCACACAGTATTCCTTTTAGCACAGATATTTAAAGAGAATGACTTGAAATTTTGTAGAAGAAACTGTTTTATGCCAAGAAACAGTAATTATTGCAAATAAATTATCGCGATTGGTGAGCGCCGCAAACAATAGTTTCTAATAATAATAGCACAAATAGTTCAAAAATTAAAGACCTCTGTCGTTAATAAAAATATTAGAAATCTTTAGACTAGGAATGTAACGAATAGTGATTTGGCTGAATAGCCGAATATTCGGAGAGAGAGAAAAAAAATCGGCCGATCAGCAAAATTTTTTGAAGAAAAAAAAATTCATTCATAAATATTTTTCACTTAGTCCTTATTGCAAAATAATCAAAATCAACAATTAAAATAAAATAATATTTCAGCTTAAGATATTATAGAGTTAACAATGAAAACCTTGTTAATAACAAAATCAACATTTCTGATGAAATAAATATTTCAGCAGGATCAGGAGCATCTGGAAAAAATCCCATCAAGAAACCCAATTTAATGAAACTCATACTAATAATGATATCAAAATAATAATAATAATAAATAAATGAATAAAAATTCCCTAGAACTTGATGTCACTTCGTCTGTAATAGTTACACCAGGGAGTTCATAGTAGCAGTACAAGTCATAAATGAAATTTGTTTTATATGATGCTAAGAATTTTTGTTTCATTATGTGGCCATGCTTAAATATTTCAATACTAGACTAATTAATGCATGCTTTTTTTTTTGCAAAACTAAATTATTTTCATTAAAAAGAGCAGCAATGATGCAAATATTGGGAGTTTTTTTATGGTACCAGCGGAACATTTGCTTGTCACAAAACTAATATAATTTTGCTCCTGCATGGTACTAATATCATAGGACAATAAAAAGTTGGTGGGATGCCATTCATTGAAAAATACCAAGTGATTTCATAATGTTTTGAAAAAATGTGGCAATGGGAAAAAAAGGGAAAATATACTAATTGATAATAAGGACCATGAAGCTAACACATACGAACAACTTCAGATTCTGGTTTGGTTCACGCACATCATTGACTACCAATAACACACTTAGGTGTACGATACACCACAATATTACAAATTATTGATCATAACAATACACACTGAATGCAATAATGTCCTGATTTATCAAATGCGTATATAAATACCATCATCGGTATTGTAGCAAGTAAGTAGTAATGAATATCATAAAGCTGCAAACATAAATATTACTGAAATTCAAGTAGAAATACTTTTATTTCACACTATTATTTAATACTCTTATTTTGCACAATGATCAAGGGGATTATGCTGACATCATTCTCATTCTTATTTACATTTTTGAATTTTTTTTCTTCTTCTTCATAGCATATTATCGATAACTTAAACCATTGGGAAAAAATTTCTTTCACTTAAAACTTCAAAGGAAATTTAATAAAATAAGCTTTTCAGCTCAGAAAAGCATACATCAACACATTCCTATTATTCAGAAGAAGTTATAAATGACTGTTATTGCGCTGCCATCTACCGATGATAGAGTGAATCACTGTCGGGGATATCGCGAATAGGATAACAATATTTTTTAAAGGCAAATGTCAAAAACTTAACAAATATTCCAAAACTTTTAAAATTACAGTAGAGTCCCGATTATCTGAGCCCCAGTTATCCGAGTTTCCGCTTTAACCGAGCTATCAAATATTTCAAGGTTTTTTTTTGTTCTAGTTTATTTTTTAAAAAACCGCTTAAAAATAAATCTGAATTTTATCTTCCAAACACTCAGAAAAACAAAATCCAACAACTTGGTCTGATGAAATCATCGTTAATATCGTCAATAATGATAATGAATCTACCGAAGATGATGAAGACAGTGATTATTAAAATCTCTCATACAGATGGACTAAAAGCTATCGAATGTACTATTGAATATATAGAAAAAAAATAGGCGACACCAGCCTTCCTGTTATCCCTAAAAAAGACAAAACATTACTAAAGAAAAGCGCCAAAGTTACGTAGAACGAAAAACGATTAAGGACTTTTTTTAAGTAAAAACTATTTAATTCTCGTAAAGTATGCTTTTTAAATGTTTTAAGTAAGCTTTTTAATTATAATATGAATTGTATGTGGTATACTCTTATACATTTCGTATTTCTTAAATATATTACATATATACCTTCTCTTTTTCTTTCCGTTTTTATACTCTTCGCTTTAACCGAGTTTTTCAGTTATCCGAGTTTGTTGGGGTCCCCATTAACTCGGATAATCTGGACTCTACTGTATAAAAAAATAATCATTCATTTAAAAATTTAACTATCTAAAAAGTAGTAAATATTTTAGTTGTATATGCACCAAATGTCAAAAAAGCCAGGTCATATATTAAAAAAGATATCAACTAAAGACGGGCAGTTTAACTTCATATAGTTTTAAGCAATTAATCTGTCCCAAATAATTCGATTTTTCAAAATGTTCAACAGCTTACTTTATGAAGGTTATAAAATTCTAAATTTCTAGATTTGCACGTAAGTTATTTGATGCAGATTATTAAATCTTCAGGTTAAAGTTAATTAGCTCTGGGTTCAACTGATACAGTTACGTACATGGTGAAATGAAACTTTGGAATTTAACCTGGAGTTGCTTTCGTAAAACCTGTTTTGAACTGTTACTGAGGGTTAGTTTTCATGGTGAATTCGGGTGTAAGCTGTCATTGTATGCAGCTGAGAAAAAGATTCTGAAAAGCTGCTAACCAACTTTCTAAATCTACTTATATTTTTATTTAATAACAATAAAAACATGTTCCATTATTTCAAAAAAAAAAAAAAATGTTTTCTTATAATATAAATACATTTTCAGATGCATTCCAATTTGATCTCTAACAAAACTACTTTTTGTTAAATTGTAAAATTTTAATCTTGTGATTATTAAATTCAAAAGTATAACAATAATTAAATTTGCTTGTAACAAAATATTTATGATAAGTTATTCCAATAGTATGACATATTCAAAGTAAACATTGAACATGTCGGTAAATTAATTTCCCTTTTTTTGTCACTTTTATTTTAAAAATCTAAAACCAAAGTTCAAATTAAATATCTATTATAATTTATAAAGAAATCCTAATCTTCTTTTCAATAAATAAAAAGTTTTACTATAAGAAACTAAAAAATACAGACAAAAAAACAAATTGCTAATTTACTTTTGTTTGGAAGCGTTACATACAACTGTCTTTTACTCATGTACGCAGATAGGAAAAAATTTAGAGGCAACATTACTGACAATGAAATCAAGAAACCAACGTTACAAGATTTTCATATAATGCTAAAGTTAAAATGGAACTACATTTTAGCAAGGAATATAAAAAAATTTACAAAATATAAAAAATTAGTGAGTTAGAAGTGTATAAATAGACCTTGAGAATGTTTTGATCCTGCTTCTTATTATTTAATTTCATTTCACCGTGATTGTAACAAAATTTTAAAATCAAATAAGAGTTTCGCATAGGTACTTCATGTAAACAAAGAGGATTGTTATATTTAAATGAAAATCTACTTAATAAAGGAAGAAGTAGAAATTAATTTATAATATTATCAATGAATAAATAGACACAATTTCTAAACAGGTTAATTACTGATGATTGGTATAATTTTATAGACTAACCATGGAGTGAATTAATGATTTACTGAAAAGTCAAATTACTTTAAGACCACTAACCAACTAAATTTTTTTAAATTACTAAAAATTACCTGTCTATCATTTAAGCTTCTGATTTCACACTGCAATTCATGTAGTTTTTTCAGGAGAACCGCATTCTATTTATAAAAAAAAAAATATTTATTAACAACTTTTAATAATTTTTTTACATTAAAGAATGATGCATACAAAGTTATTTAAGTTATGAGTTAATTTTTTTGTCATTAAAAATGAATAACAAATTCTTAATAACTATTTTATGAAAACATTAGACTCGATCGATAACTCGTAAACCTACCTGCGGATCGCTTTTTAATTCTTTCACAACCATCTGCAAAAAATACAGAATGAAATAGATAAGTACAATAAAATATAAAAACATATTAAATTAATAACATATAAATGTGTTCATCAGTTTCAAAAAAGTTGGATACATTCAATAAACATTTACGATAACTTTTATGCAACACAGTTGTTGTGGCTAAATGTAAACAATTATAAAATAGGAACATGTTTATTTAAAATTTAAAAAATTAGAGAAAAATATTTAGATAAATTTTAACAATGCTTTAGAATAAATCTAACATTATAATAGTACTTAAAATATAAAATTATTTTACATTACTTTTTTCTGATACATACCACGATTAATATAAAGAAGCGAAATTCGCCAAATTTGTTTATCTTACCTGATGTTTGTGAATGACACTATTCATCTGCGCTGATATAGTTTCAAGATCCATTATTTAATTTAATTTTTTATTTTAAAAGACAAAAACTTAATTTGTTCACATTAATTTTACTTAACACTCCGTAAATCTTTACCTCGTTACCAAAGTCAACTAAAGAAGTACTATACACTCAACAGTCCGAAAGCAAAGGGGCTTACAAAGCCGAAAATTACAATCATGAACTTAAACGAATTTCTAATCAGCTCCAAACTTTACTTTACTTCAAACTAAAAATTTTTACTCTCTACTACAAAATATAATTATTTTAAAAAGTTATATATAAAGATTTCTTAGCGAACTACATATCACTGCGCATTCCCCATCTTCCTCTAAAACAACTTCTTTTTATCCCAGATGACTAGAGCAAGCGCACACCAACACCAGTGGTTCCCGTTAGCTGCAAAAGTACACTTCTCGCAGTCGGCGGCGCGCCATGATATCATTTGGCGATATCTGGCTTCTTCTAGAAGCTGTTCCTGCGCTTTGTGTATTTTAACCTTAAAACCGAAACTAAAAGGAAACTATTCCTTTCGATGGTTTCAACTTTTCTTATAATCGTTACGCTTTCTTTGAATTATTTTTAGCACATTTTTCATAGTTAGGACGTAAAATAATTTTGTCTATTTTAGCGCAGATTTTAACTTTAATAATTAAAAAAGTAAAATAATAATAATAAAGAAATATGTAGGGAAAAGTGACAAAAAACCAAGTAACTTGAAATTCGCGGGGAAAAAAATTAGAATAAAAAATAAAAATGTGAAAAGAATATCCCGTACGATTAAATACAACAATAAAAAAATACTTGCCTAATCAAGGAAGTTATGAATAATAAATGTTTAAATCTTAATTTGCTCTACGCATACTTTATGGAAAAAGTTATTCCTTTCCCTTAATTTCTCTAAAAATTTTATGTATTGTAATTCAAATCTACTTTCAAAAGATCTAATTGAACAAAATTTTTAAAAATTAATTAGGATCTAAGATAAAAACGGGGAGACGGTACTAAAATGAAATTAACTATAATTCTTAAATTAACTAAATCAAAATTCTTTACAGTGCATGTAGTCACATTTTTTAATATACTTTTTCACTGTTATACCTTTTTTAAATTCATTTTTTCATTTATTTATTCGCTTTTGTGTGTTTCGTTATTGACAATACATATTTTTATGCACATTAGAACCAATTTAATAGCTTCATTGCAAAAAACATTTCATTTAAAAAAAGCAAGCTCATTTTAAGTAACATAATTGCACTAATTCTTTCAAACTATTGCTAATTTTATATACTTTTTTGCTCGATACCTACACATCAGTACTTAAAAATGTATTTCTAACTAAAATACAAAACTTTCACAAATTCATTCTCAAATTTAAATACTTTTTTAAATATCGATCTGTAGCTATCGTGAAAAACAATTATATAAAATTAACAAAATGGCAATAGAATTAGTGCATTTTCAAAGAATTAGTTTCAAATATATTACTAAAAATACGCTTGTTTTTTTAAACGAAATGTTCTTGCAATAAAACTATTAAATTAATTCTAATACGCATGAAAATATATGTAGCGCAACTACCGCTATAATTATTAAATACTAGTTTAGTAGTATATAAAACATGATAACTCCATCGTAAACATAGTATATCTTATCATAGTTGAATGAGTACAATAACGATAACGTGGTACCCACGTATGTGTTGTCAATAAATATACACATTAATAAAGAATAAATCAATGATAAAAACGAATAAAAACAGTGAGAAAGAGTAAAAATTATGAGACTACATGCAATTTAAGAAATTTTGTCTTTTAATTAAAATTTAAATTTCTTATTGCAAACCAAAATTGATGGCAACTACTTTTTATACGCAGTGGGAGCCAATGACTCCAGAAGATAAAATAAAACTCACTTCCATTTCTAATAAGAAATTTTAATTGAAAAATTTAAATTTCTTGCGTTAATTAAAAACTAATTTCTAATTTTCTCTTTTAAAAAAATACCTGTTATGAAATCGTCAAAACTTTTTTAGATCCGTATTCTTAGTAGAATTTTAACCCAATACGTTTTCGCAATAAAGAAACTTAGTTTTATCATAAACTTCATCTATGAAAAAACGGTATCCTGGAAGATATTTCAGCAATAATTTTTTGTTATTACAAATTAAGGAAAAATTGCAAATGAAATCTTTACTAATAGTTATTAACATAGTTTAATTTTTTTCTCAAAAATATTGATCTTTAAATAAATAGTAATTTTTATTTTTTTAAATTACTTTCACTTTAGAAAATTTTATTAATAGAAATTTTGAATTATTTTGTTAATAGAAAATCTAAAAACCTTTTTGGGTCTCTTTCTTCTTAACATGATTTTCACTTATTACTTTTAACTATGGAATCTCTTTCTTTTCTTATATAATCGTTTTCAGGAATGTAAAAACTGTTTGTTGAGTGACATTTCTGAGGTATTTTTTGCTTTAAAGAACTAAACAAAAATTTTAGAAAAAATATGTGCTAATGCTTATAAACTTATGCCGTTCTTTTAATTGAAAACATAGATATTATTTCCGATGCATTCTTATTAAATTTTCATTTTATTAAACTATTTCATTAAAAAATTTTAGTCGCTATTATTGTAGCATAAATGACATTAATATAAATGCTTAATTACCATAATAAAAACCAATATTTGACATATAAAGCCCTTCTTTTCATGTAGATCTATAAAAACTGCAAGTTTAGAGTTATGGAGACATGTTGGCTCAGGTGATAGAGCGTTCGCCTTCCAATGAGGAGAACCGGGTTCGAATCCAAGAGATGGCTGCTTCTTGAGAATTCCGTGAGAATTGTTAGCGTAAAATTGTTACAAGAGTAGATGGATCGTGGGTTTGAGTCTCCTTGCCTGTAAGGCTAACCGTGGGAGGTTTTAGTGACTTTCTTCTCCGTGTAAAGCAAATGCGGGTTAGTTTCATCAAAAAGTCTTCCATGAAGGCTAATTTCTACTGATATTTGATCCAGCAGTTCTTTTGTTATCTAGATTGGTTTCAAGTTTATAAGGCGACCGAGCTGAACAGTTATCGTTTGTTAATTATTTTGTCAACAATGAAAAAATGTATCTTGAATAAAATTACCAGATGAAAGTATATGTAATAACAAAACAAAATGTAATAACACAATGTTTTAATTTTTTTTTGAGGGGGGAGGGGTAGTTTGTTAGAGGGTTGCACCCCCTTTTATATTATTCTGCCGGCGCCCTTGAATATGAATGACTTACTCGTGAGAGATTATTTTCTCACTGGAGTGTAAAAAAAAACAAAATCTTTAATACAAATAAATCTAAAACAAATATAAGTCTATAAGCAGAGGTACCCCCGTAGGTGTCAAAACGATCCACAATGCATATACACTTTCAGGAAGCTCAATACATTAAAAACTATGTTTTGCTTATTACATTATTATTATTAAGTTAAAAATAATGCATGTCATATTGAAACTACTTTGATTTATACACCCAGAGAAAATATTACATACATTTTTAAGCAAGCTGTTACATTTAATTCTATAACTAATTGATGCAGCTTGTTTTTTTTCTAATTTGAAGACACAGTAGGGAAAAAAAATTTCATAAAATTATAGGAGAAAAAAACGTAAACACTTTCATAGTCATACCATATTTCATCTAAAGAATTTAAATGAAGCACGATTTTATTATTATTTGTGTTATAAATATTGTTCATTAATGTTTTGTGTTATAAATTTAAACGTTGTGTAAATTTGAATTTTTGATCAAACTTTATTACATTATTTTTGTGAAATTGTAAACTTACTCTGAATAAATTTTGATCTAATGACTGGATTTGGATTTGCATTCCTGACCCCTTAAATATAAGAGATAGCCACAATCTGGGAAATATGGTCCTAATAGTTTGGGAAGGTGAGCGCTCCTAAGTTTAGACTCCTTGATGTTAATATTACTTTTTGCGTATTTCAATATCTCGAGAACTTTTTAAGCTAATTGAAAAACTTTTGCACCCTCAAAATGCATACGATGGCGCCATTAATACGATGGCGCCATAAATGGCGCACTAATCGCCATTTTTCTGATGGGCCAATTCTTTCTCCTTGATCTTTAAATGTAATAATGTATTTTTCTAGCAAGAAATTTTTTCGCTTTTTAACGAATTCGAAGAGGGAAGTAGCATGGAATAGTATTTCATGTAATGAAAATTATTAAATAAAACCAGCACAGTTTACTACTAATTGTTCAAAATTATTAAAGGTTATTTTGATACATAATAATCGTAAAATCTATTCCGGTGTGACTGAGAAACAGTTAGCTAATTTTTTTTCTTCTCAAGTTATCGATAACAGGTGCAACCTTGAGAAATAGGAAGAATGCTAGCCTGATTGGACCCTCCTGATTAGCCCTTTGTCCGGTTTCTAGAAGATAAGGAAAAAATTGTGGGAAATTGAATATCTTCAGAAGTTCCTGGGTGGTGGCAAAAGCAAATTCCCTTCTGTATGAGACTCATTCCCATTCCTTTCTTTTTAACCTATAAAACATTTAATATTTAACATTTTAACATATACATTTTATTACAAATGCGATTTTCCTTCAGATGTTTAAGGGGACTTCGAACGTTTAGAAGGCGATTAGTTTTTAAAATTCATTATTTGTTTTTTGAGATATTAAAAAAAAAACACATTTTACTAAATAATATGCAACTAATCATGTTTAAATCGGAATTTTCCCCAGAGTTAAAAAAGTTTGAATTTGTGAGGATCTGAATATTAATAAGCAGTTCTCAAAGATAAAATTGCTTTTGCTTGTTATTGAATTTTTCAATGACTTGTTATTGATTTTGATGTTTTTCGAAGGCTCCGTCTTAACATGAAACGATGCTTTTCTGGGAATAATATGCTATTTTTTATGACTGCTGTGATTTTACAACTGATACTCATAACTGTTATGTCAAGTTTAGCATATCTAAAGGCAGCGCTGTCAACGTTTATTTTGAAAAAGGCGCAAAACGTCAACATGGAGAAAGGCCACAGTTTGTGAAAATGTAAAGCGTTTGTCGTCTAATTTTGTAATATTTAAAAAACTCTAATGTTACATTAACTGCGCTCATAAAGATTGGCAAAAACTGAGAATAAGGAATTTTGATAATTTTCATCTAGGCGAAAAAATGTCATAAAATTAACGATTTTTAAAAAAGTTTAATAACTTTTAAAATATTTAAGTCATTTGCCTGCTTGATCTAAAGCCCAAATAATTCTTCACTGCAAGATAATATATATAATTTGAAATAATCGCTTTCCTTGGCGACAGAGCTTCGAAAAAAAGCATTTAATATTTCCTTTGCTCATCAGTTTTGGTTCGTTGCTATAAAAAAATATTTTAGTAATTCTTTGATATGTCTTGCTTG